TGCAGGAATTGGGTATGATAATAGTTCAATGCAAGGGTCTTCAAACTTGTCAACTTTAAGACTTGTGGACTTCAACTCCCAGAATTACTACCAACCTCCCTCCCATGGAGGACCTGTATATACTGCACGAATCAAAAAGAAGGCTGTGAAAATATCTACAGACCCCTCACATCCCGGACATAAACTGTTTCAACTCCTTCCCTCAAAATGACACTATGGAGCCCTGCACACCAGAACTAGGCACAAGGAGTTTTTTCCCGAACGCCATCACTCTGCTAAACAAATAATTCCCTCAACACTGTCCAACTATTTACAAAGTCTGTACTACTATTATTGTTAATCTCATCACTCCTTATCATCCCTCCCCTCCCACCTGTGACTGTATGACTGTAACTTTGTCGCTTGTATCCTTACGATTTATATTGACTGTTTCCTAGTATGATTTGATGGCTTATTGCACCCTCTATCATTAAGTGTTGTACCTGATGATTCTTGACTCTTGATGAATGTCTCTTCTTTTATGTACACCGAGAGTATTTGCACCAAGACAAATTCCTTGTGTGTCCAATCACACTTGGCCAATAAAGAATTCTATTCTATTCTAATTCCTGAGCTAACATGACTGGAGGAGGAATTATGGGAGTTGGAAGTCCACAAGTCTTAAAGCTGTCAAGTTGGAAGATCCCTGGTTTAATGTAAAGAAGGACTAGGTGATAGGATAGCAGCCATCCAATATTTGAGGGGCTGCCCCAAAGAAGAGGAGGGGGTCAAATTATTCTCCAAAGCACCTGAAGGCAGGACAAGAAGCAACGGATGGAGATTAATCAAGGAGAGAAGCAACTTAGAACTAAGGAGGAATTTCCTAACAGTGAAAACAATCAACCAGTGGAACGATTTATCTCCAGAAGTTATGAATGCTCCTGATTGTGACTCTACAAATGCCTTTGATTTTCCATTCGTCTCGCCTTGGCTGATCTCCAAACCCCAAAACTTGGGATGGGACACCACTTAGAAAACCAAAACAACAACAACAACCCAGCACATTGTTGTTTTATTGCCCGACAAACAATGCCAGTGTGTCCAAAACATCCCAGCAGGCATCATTAACTCAAAAGAGTATTTTCCTTTGCCGTGGGAAAGGCCAGCTGCTAGCGACTCCTTGAATGGGAGACCCCTAGGCGATCTTTACAAACCCACATTTGTAATGTTTTCTTTCACGGACAAATTATATAGGAAGGGGGAAAAACAACAACCCACCTTTAATAAACAGTTTTCCTTTCCCTATTTCTCACCCAATTTCCATACTGTTTAAGTTGGAGAAAATCACACCCCTTCCTTCTCTCTCTCTCTCTTTCTCTCTGGGCCCTTGGAAGTAAAACAAAATTCAAGAATTTTGGCAAATGCAGATCCCTAAAAGGAGACCCCAATTATTTCTCCCCAGGAGGAATATTCCACCTCCCGCCCATTTGCAGAAATGTCAAAAGCAGCAGATAAATAAAAAAAAAAGGGGGGGGGGGGAATAAATAAATAAATTGTGGGTCTTCTCGGGAGCCCCCATTTTTGCAATTTTTTTTGTGGGAGGGGCCCTCCACCCATGTTGCAAGCTTGCATTAAAAAAAAAAAAAAAAGCAGCGCACACTTCCCTATACCCGGGCCAGCTAACGCACAACAGTTCTTGGCAATCCAGGTGCCTCCCCACATCCCCAGTGGGGGGGGGGGGAATAGTGGTTGCCATGGTTTTGTATATAAACACCCTACGAGGCAAGGCTGAATTCTTCCATTTTTGCTGGCCGTGCCGCATGTTTGGGTGTCTGGAAGGGAAGGCAGATAAAATATTCGCTCCCCACTCCACCCGGCTCTCATTATTATTATTTTCCCGGGGAGCACATTCCATCCGTGGCTCTAAAGGAAAAGGCCTTGTATGGACAGCGCAGGCGGCTGCTTTCGCAAGCCGCCCCTCATCCTGCAAGTTCATCCCTTCCCCAAGAATTCCCCCCTTCCCCCTTTTTGATGGATATACCACCCCTCTTGCAAATATCGAAGGAGGAGTGGGGGGAAAAGAAGAGGGGGGGAAAAAGACGACCCTTAAGGAATTTTATTTTATTTTTTTAAAGCGGTTGCATAGAAACCCAGCAAAATATTTCTTTGCAACCAAAGGACAGAGCCTGGTGCCTCTCCTTTTGCTTGCAAAATATAGATTGTATATATATTTAATATACATATACATATACATATACATATATAAAAGGTCATTTGTTCTCCAGCTCACCCGCTTCCTCATTTTGGGTGCCGAAAAAACTGGCTTCGCCCATTGCTTAACGCGATTGCAGAAGCCGCCGAGGGTGAGTAAGTTCGCTTGGCTGCCCAACGGTTTTGCAAGCCGCCGTGAATAGGCTGAACTGGCAAACCAGGTTAGAGCTCGGCCTGGTGGGGGGAAAACGGCCAGACAGGCCCTAGTTTCCTTTGGCTTGTCGGTCTGAACATCCCGACTTTGTCCCATGAATTACAAGTAATCCTCAACTTATGACTGCAATGCAGGCCCAACATTTCTGTAGTTCTGTTCTGTTTGTTCAGTAATTTTCGTCCCATTTTGCAAACCCCCTTTTTTTGGGGGGGCAGCTGTTAAGTGACTAATGTGGTTGTTAAGCGAATCTGGCTTCCTTAGAAAGCATAAACCACCACCTTAGTCCTGGCAAAACCTCTTTTTATTTCCACAGCTGTGAATTATGTTTATTCACAGCCGGCCGGGCTTCACAAACAGTCTTTCAGGGGAATGTTTATAAACACTCACCCTTATTGCACTTCCAGAGAACGAATTGCCAAGCGCAGGGCAAGGCCAAACTGGACACAGAGTCAAACAGAACTTTTCAAAGCTTGAATTGACTGGACGAACTAATTGCTGCCTGCAAAAGCTCACGTCCCATGGGAGGGGCCAATCCTCTCCGAGGTGTGGCCTTACTCCTGAGTCGACCCTGCTTTTTCAATTGTTCTGGTCTTCTGGTAGTCCTGCGCATGCGCAGGCTGGGAACCGGTTCCAGAAGCTCCCCTGCCTAACTGCTGTCTGAGTCTGAAGGCAGCTGCTGACTGCCAGCCTGCCCTGGCACCATCTCTGACTCCGATGCAGAGCCCTTGTCCGAGCCCTCCTCAACCTCCAAAACCGGCCCAGGTTCCTCCCCAACCTCCTCGCTAATGTCCGACTCTGCTGCCAGCTCCGTCCACTGCCGCGTGGGCCATAACAGTCTTCCCCATTGGCTTGTCTTGTCAGGAGTCCCAAAAGGGGATGGGTCATGCCCGTCAAGAGTCTGAATCCGAGGAGGAAGCTAAACAGCTGACAGGGAGTGGGAGTGTGGTTCCCGTTAGCTGTGGAAAAAACTGGGGAAGGGCAAAGTCTGGCTGGGCAGAGCAGGGGAGAGGTAGAACAAGGGAGAGGGAGTTCAGAGGAAGACCCAGGCCCACCCCCTCTTCATCCTAGGGCACACAGGGAGGAATGGAGAAGAGCGCAAAGTGGGTTGTGTGGCTTACAGGGGAGGAAAGGGCCCTGATTCCCTTCATTAGCCACACCTGGGAATGAGAGTTTAAGAGATGCAAGCTGTGACAGCTGCTAGGAGCAAACTTGAGTTTATCTTGCCTTTGGTTATCTGTGTTCCTGGTGTCTTCCCAACCGTGCTGAATTATGTCTGGAATTCCTTCTCCTGCCCTGCTGGACTAATTACCTCATTTTGCCATGTTTGGACTTATGGTTACAGTTTTTGTTGACCACATTTTGGACTTGATTCTCTCTGCAGCCTAAGGCTGTTCCTGGGCGAGTTTTTCTCCAGCCCAGAAGGTAACCAGGACATTGGGGGCAAAGTTGGCGCTAATAAAGGGACTCCGACTGATTATCTGACTGTGTTGCCTTTGTGCCACGCCCCTTTGGGTCATCACAGGATCGTAGGGATGCTGCAACCGTCTTATGAATCAGGTGCCAAGTGCCTGAATTTTGATCATGCAACCCGGGGGGGGGGGGGGGAACACCGTAATGGTCGTAAGTATGAAAAACGGTCATAAATCATAACTTTGAACCATTGTAAGTTGAGGACTACTGGCAGAAACAATCCAACCTCAGCATGACATTGTTAAGATTTAAGCAAACTTCCATGCCTTTTTTCCCTTCCTTCTTCCGAGTCTGCAAATCATATTTTCATCATTTACTCATTGGAAAGAGCTCCATCCCTCCCAGTCTTCGAGCAAGCCAGCACCAGAGAATCTCATTTTTGTAATTTTTTTTTTGGAATGGAAAATGTGTCACTCAAGATTCGTAAACCGTTTGCGAGATTGACAGTCACAGGCGTGTAACTATTAATACATTTTTATTTTCGTTCTCTTTCCCTTTCATCGGGGTCCTAATCATCTACAGTCCACAAGGGGAGGGGAGGAGAAAAAAAAAAAAGCCAGTGACAGGTTGTTTTTTTTAAAAAAAAAAATTGTACAAGCCAGTCACACCAACGATGTGCACCAAAAAAATGGAAGGAAGGGGAAATGAAATACTCCATATAATAAAACAAAACAAGAAAGAAAGAAAGAAATCACATCCGTGCCTGAATTTCGGTGTGAGTGGGAAAGGGGGTACTAAGGACAATTAAAAATGCTTGGCTCTGCACACATTAAAAATCTTTTTATGTGCAATTGTTAAAGTGTTCCACTTGAAAACAGTTTTGGTTTTATTCCTTGATTTAAAATAATAATAATAATAATAAGAGATGCGCGCAAAGATCGCCTCCCAAAACTTACTTTGGCACCAAGTTGTGTGCTTAAAAAGAAAAAAAAAATCCTAACTAACCTAATTGTTTCTTCTTCATTTAAAACTAACTAACTACAATTTTTCTACAGCAGCATGAACTTAAAAACATCAACAAAAAAAACCCCAACAACAATCCAGCATTTTTACATTCAAAACAATGCAAAATGTACACACACACACACATCAATATATTAACATTTCCCCCTCCAAATAGAGAACCCTTTTGTGGGGGGGACAAAAAAAAAAAAACCAACTGAAAGCTTTTCCCACCTCCATTTCAGGTTAATAAAATATGTGCAAATCAAATCCCTTGGAAGGCAGTATCGAAAATAAATGTTTGTTTGTTTTCCCCTGCTGGTTGGATCAAGGATATTTGCTAGTCTAGGGGGGGGGGAGACGTCCTGCAATGCCTGACCAGCCCAGGAAGTGGAGGAAGGGGTTTAGGAGTGAGCCCCCTCGCCCCCAATTCAAGATTCTGGGTCAGCCACTGAATTTGAGCCTGGCTAAGTGGGATTGTAGTCCGATCGCAAACCAGGAATCCATGATGGAACTTGGGCTAGGTGGCGTAACCACACCTTCCCACCATTTTTTAAGACACTCTTTCCCCCATTGGAGCCTGAGGTTTCTGGCACCCTCCCACTCCAAAATCCCTAGCCAGAAGTGGTGGGGGAATCCACCCGTGCCCATTCCTCCATCCTTGGCAAGGACGAATGAAGAAAAAATGGTTTTTTTTTCTTAAGCCCGGGGATGCTACGGGCTGGATTAGGGCATCACTCCCTCCCAGCCCCTTCCCCCCATTGATCTTTAGAACATCCCCACCCCCCACCCCAAATGTTCATTTCAAGTATTTTTCTCCAGCAAGAGATGGGAGGTGAGCCATGCAGCAGTGAAGCCGGGCGATTTGGTGGGCACCAAGGCACGGCGGTGAAGGCAGGGAAAAAAGTGCAGCCGAGGGGCCACAGGTGGAAGGAGATCTCCCAAGCAGTGGCTCGCTTCTTCCTTGAGGCCATCCTCCCCCACATCCTGTGGGGCCTCATCCCTTTTCCTGCATCCCGGTTGGCCCATCGTCTTGATTCCTGCACCTGTGCCATCTCCAACATGGACGAGCCGCGGAGGTGTTCCCCCACTCGGCAAAACTCCACGGGGGCCGTCCGGCTTTCGCGGTTGACGGACAAGCGGGGGAATTCAAACGAGGATGCAGAAAGTTTGGGCTGGAATCTTTTCTGGAAGAAAATTCCCACCGGGATAGGATCTTGGGGAAAAGGGAGCTTTTTCCACTTGCGGCGTGGCCCACGGATGGGACGTGGAACAGATTTCTTTAAAAACACGCAAGGATGAAAACCCCCAAGATTTTGACTTGACGAATCCAACACAATTCGCTCCAAAAACAAGAGTTCTTGTCCTTCCGGTGTTCAAAAGGGGTCATTGGTAAAGAAGATAATTTTTGAGAGATTTGGGCAAAGGCAGCGTCGAGATCTCATTCAGCCGCTTCTTGCCCAAAGCCAGGCGCACCGAACGCCGGCACAGGTCCATCAGCGGTAAAGGTTCGGCTACAAGGGAAAACAGATCCAAAATTAGTACTGTTTACAGACCTTAAACTAAGAACAGTCCAAATTCAAGCAGCAGTTTTGGACCGCACAGAAACGTCGAGCTCTTTCAGCGAGCCCAGCTGTACCATGGGTGCAATAAAAGCGGACAACATTGGTATAAAATGGCTTCCCTTGTTTAAGATGAAGATTGATTGCAGGGGCCGAATTCTTCATTTAACTTGCTGGTGTGAAACGGGCCTTGATCTAGGTGAGTGTTTTTTTCAACCTCGGCACCTTTAAGATGTGTGGACTTCAACTCCCAGAATTCCCCCAGCCAGCATGCAGACTGGGAGTTGTAGTCCTCCCCTCCTGGAAAGGGAATTCTGGGAATTGAAGTCCGCATGTTTTTAAAAGCGCTGCGATTGAGAAACTCCAACATTGCCAATTGAGAAGAGTTCCTTTTGAGAAATGCATATTTTCCCCCCCCTTAAATTACCCCAAATCCCTCGTCTGCTAGATTCCAAAAAGCTCTAGGTTGCCACAGGAAGCATCGGTCACACACCCCACGTTGGGCGCCTCCTCACAAATCCACCAACTTTCAAAGTGAGCTAAGATGATATATAGATGAAGTAAGCTCTATCTGGCAAGTCAAATGTTGTCTACAACACTGAGTTGGAAATTTATCAGAGTCAAGGAGGTGAAAAAAATAAAATAAAACCACCGCTGCATGGTAGCCAAGGCCAATTTTGACCTTCCCATTCCTGAGAAAAATCTCATCCTGTTGACTAAGCTTGCCTCACTCATCCCACTTGAAAGCAACACCTGCAAGAAAACGTCACAAATATCGGCAATTAAGCCTTTATTATTATTATTTTTTGCAGTGACTTATTTCTCCCAGCTGCCGTTTCCTCCTCAGACAGATTTTTCCAACGTTGGCTGCCAACGCCTAACAGCCTCAATCATGCACAACGGCTAAGAGGCACGGGAGAGCACCAGGGGGTTGTGTGTGTAGCATTTTCATTTCAGAATCCAGCACCGAACCCACAACACCCCCCATGGACGGCAAGATGTGGACGGCAAGATGTGAGCCTTTGCAGGAAGCAACTTTGTTTGTTCTGATCGGTTTAAACTCTAAAGCTCCGTGTTGACTTTGTGCTCCATTTGGCCTTGTACAACTAATGGGCAATTTAGTCATTGGCAGCATTTCAAGGGAGATAAAGGTGGGTGCTTATCAGCCTTATCCCGAAAAGACTGCGGCAGACTTCTGTTGGACTACTCACAAACTCTTTGGGACTCATTACGGGCTGTGAATGCATATAATTCACAGCTGTTGAAATTAAAAAAAAAATAAAAGGTTTTGGGGAACAGCATGTGAGTGTTACTGTCTCAGGAAGCCTTGGTCAGAACAGTGTCCCCTCTTCTCCGCAAAACTGGCTTCTCTCCTCTCGTGAAAACGGGGAGCCCCGGTTTGCGAAGAAACAGCCCCCCCCCTCAAAAGCACCAAGGAGCAAGAACATCAAGCCAGCAGGGTCGACTCAGGAGTAAGGCCACACCTCGGAGAGGATTGGCCCCTCCCATAGGACATCAAAGAGGAGCGAAGAGGACGTGAGCTTTTGCAGGAAGCAATTAATTTGTCTGACCGATCCAAGTTTTTAAAAGTTCTGTTTGACTCTGTGTCCAGTTTGGCCTTGCCCTGCGCTTGGCAGTTAGTTCTCTGGAAGCGCGATAAGGTGGGTGTTTATCAACATTCCCCTGAAAGACTGTTTGTGAAGCCTGGCCGGCTGTGAATGAACGTAATTCACAGCCGTGGGAATAAAAAGAAGTTTTGCCGGGACTAAGGTGGTGTTTTATGCTTTCTAAGAAAGCCTAGGTCAGAACAGGCTCTTCTCGCTTAACACCGTTGCAGCATTCCCACGATCCACGTGATCAAAATTCAAAGGCGCAGCAACGGGCATATACTTATGATAGTTCGCCGTGTCCCAGCCGTCCCGCGATCCCCTTCTACGACCCTTCTGACCAGCCAAGTCGATGGGGGAGCCAGATTTCACCACGTTCCTCACTTAACAACCGGGGCAAGGAATGGTCATTAAAACGGGGGCCAAAGCTCATTCAACAACTGCCTCGCACAGCAACCAAAATGATGGCTGGAGAACTCTGGGAGTTGAAGTCCACAAGTTTTAAAGTTGCCAAGTTTGGAGACCTCTATTTCTATTTCTATTCCTATTCATTCCCATTCCTATTCTAATTTTATTCTATTCTCTCTACTAAGAAGGTCAACCACCAAACGCCATGAAAAACAGAGAGAGAGAGAGAGAAAGAGAGAGAGAGAGAGAGACTTACGGTCAAGGCCGTTCAAGTATCGCATCTGGATTTCACAGTGGCCCCACACGGCGCTCACCACGGGGTAGAGTTTCTTCCCTTTCAGCCCCCGAAAGGCCACGCCCATGTACTGCCCGTCCACGATGAAGCTGAGGGTCCCGTCGTCCATGTCCAGCACCACCAAGAACGCATCTGGCACGATGAAGGTCTCGTCCGTCTCCAGGAAGGCCGGGTAGGTCTGGCTGGCCTGGTTTTTCCCATCGTGGTAGAGCCGGTTGCGCCCCAGGTCCCAGCCCCAGGACTCGGGGTTGTTCCCGATGAGGGTGGTGTAGCCCACCGAGTGCAGAGGAGCCTCGGCCGTGGCCACGCCCACCACAGCGTGCGTCCCCCGTTGCCTCATGGCCCAGGTGATCTGCCAGACGTGGAGCCCCCGGGTGTAGCCCACTTTGCCCCGGATGGCATCGGTACTCTGGGCCACCGGATGCCGGTGGAAAGTCAGCCTGTTTTCCTCTTTCACAAAGACATTGAGGGAGCGGTCGTCGTTGTTCCACGAATGGAGCAGCTGGACGTCGTAGGGGACGGCGGGCATGTCCAGCAGGAGGTCCAGTCGAGCTGGCTTGCTGTCGTCCAAGCCTTGCAGCTCCTGCTTCAGCGGCCGGCACACCGGGTCCCGCATGTCCACCATTTTGATCCCCCCCGTCACCTTTTGACCCATGGTTCAAGGCCCACCCGTTGGGCGATGGGCATCCGGGGGGAGGGATGTCGGTCAGCCCGCTCGCTCCGAGGCCTCACGGGGAGATGTCGCTGCGGATGTTGGGTGACGGTCAACAGTACCTAATCGAGCAGAAAGGAAAACAAGGGGCGAATGAAACATTAAAAAAATAGAAGGTGGTTTTTGCGAGGACAGCAGTTCAGGGGGGGTGATAGAACGTCTGGGGACAGCCAAGACAGATGTTCCCACCACCACCACCAGCGATTAAAAGGAGAAGGCCACAGGCCTTAACAAAATGGAACATCTGGCCCCAGCCTCTATCAGAAGCCTCCAGATGTTCCGTGGTGAATGCCTTTCACGCCACGTTCCGAAGTTCCACGCTCTGCCCTGGGAAGAGGAAGGGGAAAAGAGAGCGGATGTTCTGAACTATGAGCCCCATCATCCCCTTCCAGGGGGTCCGAGAAAGATGGCTTTCAACTGATGGGAGGGGGAAACATCTGAAGTGAAGGACCTCCAGCTCTCACATGATTCCCACTTTCGCCACAGATTTCTCCCCACGCCACGTTCTTCCACCTGTCGGCATTCCAGCAACCCTCCAATCCAATCAATAACTCCGAGGCAGACGCCTCTCAAAAAGTTCCTTTTATTTGGATAGTAAACTGGAACATCTGTGGAATCCCGAATCTGAAAGTTTCGGGCTTCCTTGCAAAAGTCAGAACTACAAATCCATCCCCCCTCCTTAGCCATCATCACATCACATGGTCCAATCCCCATCCGTCCTAAAGTAAGATTCCCATTTCATTCTGTGCCACACTCCATGACCTTGAACCAAAGAAAAGGATTTTATTTTGCCTCCAATGAATTCCTCCCTCCCACTTTCTCAGGCTCAACTGTGGCAGCATGGAAGCCTCGAATCTCAATATGGCTTCCAAAGCTGACACCACCAGGAGGCGTTTCGGCTTCATTGATGCAAACAGCCCCCTGGGCTCCAACCAAGATGCACTCTGCACATGCTTCTGGGAAGCAGAGATATTTTAGAGCTTTCTCCTGACTAGAAGCAGCAAAGCATTGATCCGTACCGCTTTATAAAGCCTTGGTAAGATCACACTTAGAAGGCTGCAATCCGTATTATAAAAAAGATGTTGAGACTCTAGAAAGAGTGCAGAGAAGAGCAACCAAGAGGATTGGGGGACTGGAGACTAAAACATATGGTTGCAGGAATTGGGTATGTCTAGTTTGACAAAAAGGACCAGGAGTGACATGATAGCAGTGTTTCAATATTTGAGGGGCTGCCCCAAAGAAGAGGGAGTCAAGCTATTCTCCAAAGCACCTGAGGGCAGGACAAGAAGCAAAGGGTGGAAACTAATCAAAGAGAGAAGCAACTTAGAACTAAGGATGAATTTCGTAAAAGTGAGAACAATGGACGAGTGGAATGCCTCTAGAAGTTGTAAATGCTCTAACACTGGGAGCTTTTAACGAGTGATTGGATAACCATTTGTCTGAAAATTGTATGAGGTTTCCTACTTGAGCAGGGGGTTGGACTAGAAGACCTCCAAGGTCCCTTTCCAACTCGTGTCATTCTCTTCTTCAATGCCATCCCTTTCTTGCTTCCCAAATCGTGGCCAGCTCACATTCTTGGTTCTTCCCACTGCCACAAAACCATTCGAAACACTGGATTCCCCCGAGCAAAGATCCACCTTTGGGGCGGACAGCAGGTGTGTGTGTGTGTGTGTGTGTGTGTCTGTCTGTCTGTCTGTCTGTCTGTGTGTGTGTGTGTGTGTAAATCTTGCCAGCCCCTTTTTTTAAAAAAAAGGGAAACTGTGCAAAGTCGCTTTCTAAGAAACATGTTTTAAAGATGAACTGCCCCACTGAAGTCCTGCCAGCCGCAGACTTGGTTAGTCATGGAAAGAAAAGAAGGAAAAAAAGAAGAGAGGGGGGGAAAAAAACACCAGGGTGTGAATCAGGTTCTGTGTTAAGGCTTACACAACACACACAGATGTGTATATTTAAAAAGCTAAGGCTGGAAAAAAGTGTGCCGTGGGGGCAAACGGGCAATGGATAATTTAATTCCGTGCACGGGCATGTTAAATATAAATAAATATTTCAGGATCACGCATTTCCCCGCCTCGGTTTAGTTTATAAACTTTTTAAAAGGGCAGGATTGGATTGATCTACCCACTATGCCAGATGCCCCCTTAAAAAAAATCCTACAGGACAATGGGTGGATTAGATTATGATAAATACGGGGAGTATCGACTTATAATGGTTCATTTAGTGACCTTCAGAGTAACAATGGTCCTGAAAAAAGCGAGTTCTGAGCCTTTTTCACACTTAAGACCGCTGCGGTCATAAGTGTGGATCAAAAGCTTGGCCATGGACGCATATTTATGACGGTTGCAATGTCCTGGGGTCACGTGATCACCTTTTATGACCATCAAAGTCAATGGGGAGGAAGCAGGATTCACTTAACAACCGTGGCGCTTCGTTTAGCGAGGGAAATTTTGCATGCGTTACGTCGAGGGGCTACCCCGTACTGCTTTCCACATTACAAACAGGAATTGTACGGATCCGAACTCGGCTCTCCAACTCATCAAATGGCACCCCCACACAACCAAGAGACAAAACAGCGTCCCATCCATCCGCCAGGCCTCCGCTGGGCAATCCCTTTTCTCATTTGCACACTAAAACCAAACCTAAAAGTTACTTCTGCTGGACTTGAGACCGCTCACCATAGTGGTTTAAACAAGTAAATCACGGTTAAGGAAAGCTTTCAGTTTGTGTCCGACAATTCAGGAAGGAAACTCCCAAACCAAGCTGAAATGATGTGCAAGCTCCATTTTACACGATAAATATTTATCTATATAAAAGCAAAATACCCCTCACGCACCATCACACAATCTCCAGAACTATAAAGCCTACAAACTTGAAATTCGGCACCTATGGTCCTCTTGGCTTCTAGGTGCTCACTAGGGAAAAGATTTTTTGAAATGACCATCAGAGCGTTATTATTTCGTATATTATTATTATTAACACGCTCTGGTGCTAAGGAATTCTACTCCCCCATCCTACCTGAAAAGAAATCTCTTCCAAATGCAAAACACAAGCAGAGGAGAGGAGTTTCAGTTTTAGTTTCACAGTACCAAGCAGCTTTAGGACGGAACAGTTGAGCTAAGCCCTGCCCAGGCTCCTTGCTGTCTCCTTGCTCACACAGCACATACTGTTTCAGTTTCCAAACAGCCCTCAACTCTCACACACTGACAGGACACTAGCCAGATGAATACTGATGGATGCTGGTAGGCAGAGGCAGAATTCCCTCCCCCTTATTGTTTATAATATAAACATTATATTGTCACAAAATACGTAACAATCAAAACTCCTTTGCAACGAACTGAAAACTTAAGCCATGCAAAAACCAACTTTGTTTTTTCAAAGTCCCCAGAAAGAGGGGAAAATAATCTTTTCTACTCTAGTTGTAGAAAGACAAATTTCGGGGCAGCCCAATTCAAATGTCGAGGCTTCCCAAAAGATGACACCAAGGTTTTTTGTTTTTTTTTTCAAAAGAGAGACAAGACTTTCTACATGCAGGGAAGGTGGGCTGAGATGACCGCGCAAGAAGCACTGCAGGCCGAGACAAAAATTGGCAGAGGAAGGAAAAAGGCCACTGAGTCTTCCTCTATTCAGAACAGGCTGTTCTTTGGAAAAAAAAGAAGAAAAAAAAACAGACCAAAAGGGGTCAGGGAAAAAACTGCCCTGGGTTTATTACATAACCGAGCATTTGCAAGCAGCGTTTCCACTAGCAAAGATGCTGAGCTGGTCAATTCAGAAGGGGAAAAAAAAGATATGCAATTTCCTCTCAATGCCAGCTTGTCCCATAACTCGGTTTTCCTGGTAGCTAGCTCAAACGAAGGAAGTTTAGCACTGGCTTTCAGCTCCCGCCGAGACATCCGAGCCTTGTGACCAAGAGGCCCATTTAAAACCTCAGTTACTACAAATCCCATCATCAGCATTCCCCAATAGCTGTGGTTCGGTGAATTCAGAGCTGCTGCTCGTTCTTGTGGTGGGCAGTTCCACAGGCCCAACGAGGCAGCGTGGTTCTCGGTGGCTGGGAAAAGCCAAGCAGGAGAGGGTTAATGGTGTTGAATGAGGATGACTCACGGCTGTGCAAAGCTTTGGGAAGAAGCTCCAGGTTTGTTTCTCACACTCCAGACCAACCGTGCCCAAAACCAGATCCAAATAATTATTAACAGGCCAGCAAAACAAACCCAAGGTTTGATTAACCCAAGGTTAATCCAAGGTTTTTAGGATGAACTGACCATCAATTCCTTGAAAGGAGGAGGAAGCAGCCCAGGTGGACGTGCCAAATCCACCTGCAAGGCAAAACTCATCGGGTTCGTCCTCGACGTACGGCCATCACGTGTTGCTAAGTTGTCAGGCGAGCCATTGAAAGGCGTTACTAACTTACGGCACTGATTCACGTAAACAAACGTGGCAGGAAAAGTCGTACGACGTGAGCAAAAACTCACTTCACGCGTTTTTCTCACCGGCAACATACATTTTGGGCTCAAGTCAAGAATGACCTGTATTTTTAATCACCAAGTTCAAACAGATTTATATGTCAGGTGGACGGCCCTATATATGTCAGCTCCTGCCCTTCCCTTTTGCTAATTTATTTCCAAATATTGTTCTTTTTCATTCTTTGCATCCACGTTCCCCTGCCTGAAATTCAGGCACATCAGCTTCCCAACTGGACACCCAGGACATCAATTGTCATTGGCCAAATGTTGCACTACAACTCCCAGGAAACCTTGCCAGCAGAGCAAAGAACACTGGGAAACGTAGGCCAGCCACTTCTAAAGCCACCAAAGCCCTTCCTTTCTTTTCCAGATTTCAAAGAAATCTCTGCTCATGTTAACCTTCCCTGGAATGGATCAATTTGCAAAGGAAAAGAATTGCACACACACACCCGCTTCTAATCCCAGGGTAACCAGTACCCCAAAACCAGTTTTTAAATTTAGAGGGGAAATAATTGAGTAAGAAATAGTCCAAGAAATTCCCCAGTTAAAGAAAAAAAAAGCAAAGAATAATCCTTGGATGGCTAGGGAATTCTGGGAGTTGAAATCCA